GTGGAATGATGGCCATTTTAAGGCCGAAAATGCATCAAAATCACGTATTTTCACAATTCCAGAACCGGATCTCAGTCATGCATGGATGGATTTTGTTCAGATTTAGCACAATGTGTTGTACATATGCAGGTGCATTTCGGTCATGATCTGCTTTGAATGTATATGTCACTCAAATATGAACGGAACAGGGACGTGTCATTGACAATGACTTGTTTCATTCATTTTTTTATAATGTGACTCCAGTAACAAACTTCATTTTGTTTTCAGGGTAATGCTTATTTTAAAGAAGGCTTGTATAAGGAGGCTGTACATTGTTATACGACTGCTATCAGCTGTGATTCGTACAATGCTATCTTTCCTGCTAACCGAGCAATGGCATATCTGAAAATGGAAAAGTGAGTAGATTACGTTTCAATCTGAAAAAATATTTTATGCTTTCAAATCTTGGTGTTTTGCAGTGCATGTATGTTGTAAATCAAATGAATAATTTGTCATGTGGATATAATTTACTGTAAAATTTGTATTAGAAGCCACTGCCTCTATTAAAATGGTACAATGCAACAGAGGGGATGTGGCTTCTATTAGAGCATCTACACATATGAAAACTGGTGAATTTTTGGGTCTCAATTGTTCACTAAGAATGGTGATGCAGCCTTTAATTCATATTTTACTGTAGCAATCCATCATCATTCTGTTTTGTTTATTCCATTATCCAATTGATGGTATATGTTTATGTATTTTTTCTAATTGATGGTATATTTCCATATCTCCATGGTAATATATTGGTTGTACATTGATAGATACGAGGAGGCTGAATATGATTGTAACACAGCATTATCATTAGATTATACATATGTCAAAGCGTACCATAGAAGAGGCACTGCGAGAATTCATCTTGGTCAATTAGATGATGCTAAAAAAGGTACTGTTCAACTTTGTTGAGAAAGATTTAAAGCAGGAGGGTCATCACCTGTGTATGCGCAAAGGAATTGAGTCCCAAGCGATGATAACAACACACACAACAGAGCGCAAAGGCTCATGGGTAGACGTATGTTTGTATACAATGACACGCTATAGCCACCTGATTCATGCTTAGGTGACGACTCCCCGCTTCAACAGACACAGGTAGCAGTAAGATTTAGTGACTTTTCACATTTACTCACATTAAGTGCTGACTGGCAGCCATTTTGTTTTTTCAGTCAGTCTACATTCTTCAGGCATGCAATGACCAATTCGAATGTTTGTACACAGACACTATTTCATAAGATACATATGAACCTATTTTTTTGTTTTGTGATGTGATTGAATTTGGTATTAAAATCATTAAATTCTAAAACTTGAAAGTATCCGCAACAGATTCATGGAGACGATTAAGATTGATTCCAATTAAACGTGGTACGATGAAAATACATATTGGGATGCAGGTGAAC